CCACCATAAACAGGCTAGAGCTGTGACTGGAGCTGCGCTGTAGCTGTACCTTGATTGCGCATTTATTGCTGCTCGAGCCTAAGTCGGAGCTGTCGGAGCTGGTTTCGATTTGCAGCAATTGGCGCGCCAAATAAACCTCAAAGAAGATCTCGTATTGTCGGATGCATTTCTCCAGAACGGAAAAGCCGCGCTTTTGTGTAGCTTTGGTCTGCTCATCGTCTAGCTGAAACTCTGCACAATGCTCCGGGGGTGCACTCTTGGGCGGCTCCTCACCCGCATCGTCAGCGACGTCAATGGGCGTCGGATTGCTGGGCGCAATTACAATATCCTTGGGTCGCGATTTCTTCGGGCTGTTGCGTGTAAATGGCATCTTGGCCTTCGCCTTGATCTTCTTAATGCTGCGCGGCGTGTCCAGATCTGAGGAGGACTGCTGACCCGTGTCCGAGGCGCTTATCTGCAATATTGACAGTCATATTAATAAATATCTTAGAATCGGGCTCAAAGACTTACATCCTTGTCTAGCTCGGAGAGTCGTGAAAAGGATTTCGCCTTCTTTTTGGGACTGTGCCGCACCACGCTCTGATTGGAGGCAGAGCGTCGGATAAGCTCTTCGTCCCCGGGCTCCGCACACTGAGAATGCTCACCAAATTGATTCAATCGGGAATCAGATTTACTTTTCTCCAGCGCATTGGCTTGTGTGGTAGACTCCAAAGTGTTGTTGCTGTTGCTGCTGCCGGTGGCATTCACGATCTTCTCATCTGAGCCGGAATTGCTCTGCTCCAGTAGCTTATTCAGCTTAATTGGGCTTCTGTGGGCACAATTGAAATAGTAAAGTTAGCAAAGGTGCATCATATTTATATTGAAACTCTTAGTTACTCACGTAATCATAGGCTGCACGCGGGACACAATCTTCATGCAAAGCTTTAGGGCGGCGGTGATCTCATCGCTGCTTAAGCAATCCATGTGCAGGGAGAGCAGCTGGGTAATGGCTAGAAACACTTTGGGTAAGTAGACGCGAGTGGTTTCCGTGTACATTTCAAGTGATATGGTCTCCAGTAGGAATTCGGTGAGCACGCATATTTCCAGCACACACGGATCTCCGGAGCCAACGATGCTGGCGAATTTGCCATCGCTATTGGACTGGACAGAGCTAGGCGCCTGCTGGCAGGCGCGCTCAAACATGTTGGTCATGTAGCTCCAGATGTAGGCCGGATCGAAGGTGGCAAAGAGCAGATTGGCCGACTTGAGCGCGTCCGCGTTGCTGCTAGAGATGTACATGGCGCGTATTATGTCATGCAGCACGAAGTCTAGCACGGCGCTGCCGATCTCCGCCTTGTCCAATAGTGAGAGCATAATGCGATACGGCTTCAGATCCATGGGCTGGCACTCCAAGCTTAAACGTAGCGTGCTGACCAGTGCGCTAATAAGTATGTGCCGGGAATGTGTGATAAAATATGGCTCCTCTTTTTGTCCGTCCACTGGTGCAGAGTCCAGCGAAAGCGTGTCATAGGTGGGCGAATTTTTGGTTACCTCGCTGGCCAGCAGCCAGGAGAAGAGTCGCCTATTTAGCGACATATCGCGCCGCAGTATTGTATTCAAGCCATTCGTGACCAACAACACCAGCTGGTCCTCGTCCAGCAGCTTGGTGTGCATGGGAAAGCCCAGCAGCAGGAACTCCAGCGTATTGCGCTGCACCAATATCACAGAATCGTTGAGGCAGGCGCACAGCGCCGACATCATGATCTCCCGATTGTGACCCATTATGTATATCTGTTTCTGCATGTCCAGGCGCTTGTTAAAGTGCTCCAGCAGGAAGGTAATTGCCGGCAGTCGTATAGCCGCATTATTAGCCACCGACTCCCACAGCACTGTATAAAAGTGCATGGGATTGACCGCTAGGCATACATTTTTAAGCAGCGCACTTATGCGCTCAAAATGATCCAGACCACAATCATAACCAGGCAGCACACCACTGAGGAAACCGCTCAGCGCCGGACGCAGCTTATCGCCCAGCGGCACAAAGTATGTCTCATAGATTGTTAACAGCGCCGGGCGCACATTCATGGCCGCGTAGCCGAGCAGTGGAAAGAGTCCAGCCCTACAATATGGATAAGAGTTTAAGTAAAAAGCTATCATACGTTGTCAAGGCTCCAAATATGCTCACCCATAAATAAACTCTGTGGCCAGACGTTCGGGTCCCGTCTTGCTGAATATCACCGAGTATGTTTCCAGCGCCTTCAAATGTACGCCCGAGGGCAGGGCGGGGTGCATGCACTGTGCCAGACGTTTGGCTATCTTCAGGCGTCTGGGTATGACCTGGTATTGCGTATTACTTGATATTGCCTATCGCAGAATCGGGTTCAAGAAGAGTTACAAATATTAATAAAGTTGAATGAAGTGCGAAATCTGAATATGAATTAATAAATATGTTAAAACTGCATTTTGCTGCCTTTCTGATATTGCATTTATATAAAGGAAATTAATTATTTTATATTACTTTTTTTGATTTTCATAACTCGAACTATATAGAGTATTCCCGATCAGATCTTGAGATATACTATGAAAATAAATAGAAAAATAGTTTTCAAATTCGTGCACATCATAAATCGTAAGATCTGACCGATTTTAGGCTTATTTATTCTATTAGTCGTATAGTGAAAAACTTGAAATACACTTCGGGCACAGTGAAAAATCCCAGAAATACGTTAACGAGAAAACAAAGGCGATAACGCTAGCTAAATAAGCGCATGAATCAGCATGAACCAGCGGGGCAAATGCTGGCTGGCTGGCTGGCGAGCTGGCGAGCTGGCGACTGTTATAGTTATCAGAGCTGGCAGATGGCGCGTGGCTGCGGCAAAATGTGTTTGGCTATTTGTGGGTCAGCAGCATACCTTGCTCAGTTTGCCCAGTGCAGCTATTAGGTCCGCCCACTCGCTGGAGTATTCGAAATTGCGCAGCGCTTTGTCAATGTTGGTCATATATTGGCGATACTTTGCCTCGGCCATGAGCTTCTGCTCCTCCAAGAGCGTGTCCGCAGACTCCATGGCGAGCTTTGTGACTGAGTCGATAGCTGAAAAGACGCACACAAAAAAAAAAAAGAAGAGAGCCCAATTGAAAACAACAATAAGAAAATCAATAACAATTAACAAACACTTGTTGCCGCCGACGTGTGTGTCCTTGGGCTTTTACTAGACGCTGGCCGTTTGTTTTAGCCGTAATGCATACATATTTAATGAGTGTGGCATCCAGCGCACACGCGTCCGCATCTGCGTCAGCTGCAGCTGCGGCCAACAACACTGCACAAAAGTGTTGAAATCACTAGCGAAAAATATGCTTGTGTGTGTGTGTCTATGTGTGTGTTCTTTGTTCACACATCTATTCGGCCGCAAATTGAATTTGTTTTTGCTTCATGTTGCATATATATTTCACATTTCACCTTATTAACCCCCTTCTTAGTGGGCAGCACAGTTCAGTTGTTGTTTTTGGTTTTTTTTTGTTTTTTATTATTCTGCTGCTGCTGCTGCTGTTTGCTCTCTCGCGCACGTCACACAATTAACTGCGAATGCAATTACTGTGACGACGACTCGAGACTCGCGAGACTCGCGACCAGCTGATGACGAATTTTTTTGCAGACAGACGACGACACAGTGTTTGAACTTTTGTTTATGATCTGCAAGTTACGTAGCAAGCTTGCTGTGCGACATTTTGTGTCGCATTTGTTCCCTGCACAAATATTTTAGTATTTATTATTGATTTACATTGCAAAAATATACGTTCTGGCAGAGCTAAAAAAATCACAATAACTAAAGCAGACTGTTGGTCGAGGTCTTATATTTTCTAATACATTTTTACATATATCGATAACGATATATCGATAGATTTGCTTAGCTATGGTGGAATGACACCACATTTTGCATTCTTTCGATATTTGACGGTTGCTAATATAATGCTTACAAATTGGCATCCACTTGACTTTGTACTTTTGCCTAGTATTTGGAATTTAAAAAAATAGACCAAACATGGTATTTAGGAGTTGTACTATGCTTACTACATTTGAGCAATATCTTATCTTAAACACTTGCCTGAAAGTGTAAATCTCTTTTTACGTGCTGATGATAACCGTTCTTTCATTTTCCTTTTGTAACAGCTGAATCTCTGGTAGTTTCCTATTACCGCTCTGCTTTGCTCTTTGATTTTGTCCGAAAGCGGAATGGCGGTGCAGCCCCAGGCGTTTTTTTGGGTGCGTCCAGTTGCATTTTCAGATAGAGCATGTATTTTGTACTAGACCTAGCCGGTTGCAATGGTTTTTGACATCCTGCATAGCTAAATCTGCTGCGGCTGCCTGTAGCGCACTTTCCTTCGATGAATTATAGAGTTGCGAAAGTACTCTAACATCGTATAAATATATCGATGCTCAAACAAATAAATTCGATACTGAGATATCGCACGAAGGTAGGCGCCAACTGTATTTAAAACCGTAAATTTAAAACACAAATCACAATCTTTGTTATTTTCAGTAATTTGTATAATGCAACCTACCAATTAAATATTTTTGAGTAATAAATTTGAAAGACTATTAGACGGGGAATTATATCCTAAATACGTAAATTTTAATACACAGTCCTGTATAGTCAATGCTTTAGTCATTTTTAACGTGCACATCAAAGGCTGCCATCTATCAAAACTTCGCTGCTACAAGTGTAGCTTTAATATTTCACGTTCAGCAGTTACCAAAAAATTATTTGTGAAAAATAAATGCATGGAATAGAAAGAACATTAATGAAAATAACAGATTCTCCAAACTGTTAGAGTACTCATAGCAAAAAGGCATAACGGACAATAGCTGTTAATTAACATTGTCAATTATGAACTATCGGTAACATTTAACTATCGATATTTCTGCAATTGCCAAGCTACATTGTCGCCTTGTCGTTTACTCTCAGGGTTGCCTCTCATTTGTCGGCTTGTCGCTCATTCTGTTTCCTGCTGTCGAACCGTGCGGACGCTCGTGCGTATAACGCGCTCTTGTCGTCGCTCTAGCTCGTTTAACGGTTGCTTTCAAACACGATCACAAGCGGCTGTGAATAAAATTGTAGCAAAACAAAACGCCGGTGTACGTCTAATACAAACGCCTAAATGTTCAATAGAGTTAACAAATAAATCGAAGTGCTGTGAAGAATATTACTAATAAAACCGAGCTTGTGACTTGTGCAAACGTCACAAAAGCAACAAAAGTGCCTTTTCTCTTGCTCTTGCCAACGTACACACATACCAGCACACGAACATACAAATTCGTATGTTGGTAACAAATACAAGTGCAAACAACAAACGACGCTCTTAAATACGACACATACATTCACACGCCTTGTGGTTGTGTGCGTGAAACCACTTTTTACCTGGATTTACCTGTTTGTGCGAGTGAAATAAGCCGAAGAGCGGCAAAAGCGAAGAGGTGAACAAAGCGAAGTTGGCAATCAAAATGAATACCAAAGCAAATGAGTGAATGATATTGTTAAGTTAAATGTGAATACTTTTGAATATACGCTAAGAATAAGCGAAAATTAATTAAATAAATTGCGTTTTATGGCCCTCTGCTGATTCAGTTCGATTTAATTTGTGCGTCGGTTGCCATGAAAATGCAGTCTAAACAAACGGCAAAGCGTACGAACACAAATAAACAAATGTGAGGGAGAGACAGAGAGAGAGAGAGAGTCGGAGAACGAGAACGAGAGCGAGTTTAGAGTTGGAGTTCAATAGAAAACGTCAATTGACGCAACGTGAATCTGTGATCACACACACACGTACACACACATACACAGATATATCAGCATAGAAAAATACTAAAAGAAATACTGGGTGATTCATGAAAAAGTGTATTGTTTTTTTGCCGCGATGATTTCAACTACTTAAATTCAACGAAACATCCCACCTTTACTCGTGCTCCCCTCCTTCCGACTGAGAATAAAATGCAATAAAATGTTGTTAAAATCACAAAGTAACGACAATATCGCGAATCCCGCTCAACAGCAGCCACATCATCAGCATAAGCGAAAATGTCGCTGTCAAGCAACAACAACAACAACAGCAAGAACAACTCGCTACAGTTACACCTGCCCGCGGCCACAGCCACGCCCACTGCACAGGCTGCTAACGATAGCGTTAGTTTTAATCATCTCCTCACACTGCACACCCGCCCTGTTCGTAGAAGCACTCCATGCCGGAACCGGCACCGGCACCGGCTCCAGCTCGAGTGCTTCCTCGTTCCAGATGGGGACGTTCGATAGCATTGCGGGCGACAATCGTAAGCCGGCTTTCAAGAACTGCGCCGGCTATGCGCCTTCCGTGAAGGAAGAGCAGCCGGAGAACACGTATGTGTTCACGGTGCAGGCGGTTGATCCGGATCCCAACCAGGATATACATTACAGCCTGGTACAGTCGGCCAGCGAACGGCCCAAGTTCTCCATCCATGAGTCCTCCGGCGTCATTATGACCTCGCACATCTTTGACCGCGACGAGCCCATTCACGAGAAATTCGTCTTTGTCACGGTCCAGGCCACGGACAACGGGCTGCCGCCCCTCGACGACGTCTGCACCTTCAACGTGACCATCGTGGACATCAACGACAATCCGCCCGTCTTCAACAAGGCACGCTACGACGAGTCCATGTCCGAGAATACCATGGTGAGTCGCCGCAAAAATCTTTTGCATCCGCTCCGTCAACCGGGTCAAACGCGTGGACCACGGATTACCGCCGTTTGACCTGCACGACCTATACCTAGCATCCTCTCCAGACTTTTTCGAGAATTCGATTCTCTTTTTTAACGACGAATTTGGATACGTTCAAGAAATAGGGGGATTTCAAAATTTTAGGCATGGGATATGGATAATCTAAAGGATAATGTAAAGGATGTCTGATTTTTAGTTAGATCCAAAAACAGCATCAGTTGAGATTGTGGCTTGAACATGTTGCCAACGGGAAATTTTATTAAATATTAACTTAACCTTAAACTCTTTAAATATTATATTTTGATGAGATCTTTTATTACAGTCTTTTTTTTTTTTAATAATAAAAAAAGTTGTCGCGGCTTAAAACAGGTTTTCTTTTAATGATTATTTCGAAAAGGTTTGCAGCGAAAATTCTCACGAAGTCATAAAGATCTGGCAGATGAATATTCTCAGATAAATAAGATACATAAGAGATAACTGTCGAATACCTGCTTACCTTATTAAGGGACAAATTTCGTGATAAACAAATATGATGCCCTGTTTGACTACGGAATAAGTTAGTTGGGGTATTCCCCTAATTGTTAGATTTTACTGTTAATCGGAACGATTGCTAAGTAACAGGGAAGGAGGAGGGGGGGATATTTAAGATAAATCTATAGATATTATTATGCACAAGCTAATAAAAAGGTAAATGGATTGTTTTTCTCGCAGAGTTTTCATTTGATATATATTTATATAAAGTAGTTTATACAAAAATCTTGGGCATTTATTTTACTTTGTCTGGATTTCTGGGTTTTATCTAATTTGGAATGTACCATATTGTCGTTAGACCCAGACCAAGAGCATATTTATAAAAGAGAATTGGCCTTGAACTAGTGTTATTCTTCCATATGTGCTGCGCACCTGCTATGTGCTGCTTTTGTTGGACAAGCACAAAAAACCGATCAATAATTAAATACAGTGGTCGCTCGATAAATGCAAATAAATCCGTTTGCCAGATTTCTTTAATACAAAATTTAAATGCCATATGCCAAATTTTGTGGAATGCAAAACAATTGCAAAGAAATATTACTAAAATTTAGTTTCAATTTTTTTTGCTAAGAGAAAAAGTATTAAAAATATGTGAATAATAAAATATAATAAATGTGTAAAAACTTCTTCTGCGAGAAACTTAGGCGGAAATATTCGTAGAGCAAATCTCATAAATTATCAAAAGACAGACAGCCAAACGCAGAGTTCCCAAGCTAATATGCCCCTAATATAGCCTCTTCTCATTTTAAGCATAGTAAAAAAACATTTTGGTTAGAATTCAAATTCAAGCTAGCAAAGGTCGCACATGGCGAATAGCCACTGTAGTTAAGGGCACACAATATGTGTGGGTTTTGCATTGGTCAGGTTTTCCGTTTCAGTTCAGGCTAAAGCTTTGAATGGGCTGGTGGGAAAATTGGCATAAAATAAGTTGAGGAAAATGTGCATAATTGTGTTCTGGCAGGTGGGCAAGTGTGCTGCAGGCGGGGCCTGGGGGAAACTGGTCTCTTGTATGGAACTTGAATCGAACTCGTTTCTCTTTTACTTTCAGCTTGACGCGGTGGTCATGTCGATCAGTGCCAGCGACTTTGACGATCGGAACAACAGCATCGTGGAGTACGAGATATTGCGGGAGCGCGACTTTCAGTACTTCAGAATTGACAAGGAGTCGGGCATCATCTATTTGAGTCGACCGATTGACAAGCGGCCCGGCCAAATGTACACGATTAACGTGCGTGCCTATAATATAGTGCCAGATCCGTTGCAGGAGGCGCGCATCGAGGTGCGCATACGCGTGGTGGAGTCATCGATAAAGTCGCCCTCGTTCGTCGATCCCATTGACGAGCCGATCTACCTGAAGGAGGATCTCAACAACTTCTCGCAGCCCATAGCCACACTGCGGGCCGTGTCCAATATGCCGGACAAGCCGGAGGTCATCTTCGAGCTGATCACCGGCCGCACCGAGCAGACTAACGGCAAGAACACGTTCGTGTTCAATCAGATCGGCAACGAGGTGACCATCAAGCTGGGCAAGAGTCTCGACTACGAGGGCATCACGGACTATACGCTGACGATGAGCGTGCGCAATACCTTTGAGCTGGCTGCCGAGCACCAGATCAAGATCAAGGTGGAGGACGTTAACGACAACATTCCATTCTTCACGGAGGTCAAGTCGGGCACGATACTGGAGAACGAGCCGCCTGGCACGCCGGTGATGCAGGTGCGCGCCTTCGACATGGACGGCACACCGGCCAACAATATCGTCTCTTTTGAGCTGGCCGACAACCAGGAGTTCTTTGCGATCGATCCGAACACGGGCAACATCACGGCGCTGACGACCTTCGATCGGGAGGAGCGCGACTTCTACAACGTGAAGGTCAGCGCCACAGATAACTCGCCGTCGAGCCTGTTCGATAACGGGGATCACAACCATGGCTACCAGGTGTTCCGGATCTCCATTGGTGATAAGAACGATCATCCGCCGCACTTCCAGAAGTCCATGTACCTGGCGGACAAGCTGCTCGAGGACGCCAACACCAACTTCGAGGTAATCGAGGTGAAGGCCGACGACGAGGACAACGCCTCGCAGATAGTCTACAGCATTGAGAGCGGCAACGTGGGTGACGCCTTCAAGATCGGCCTCAAGACTGGCAAAATCACAGTTAACCAGCGCCTCGACTACGAGACAATTACCGAATACGTGCTGATAGTGCGGGCCTTCGACGGTTTCTACGCCGACAATACAACGGTTGTGGTCAAAATTGAGGATGTCAACGACAATCCGCCCGTGTTCATGGAGGAGTACAGCAAGACCATTCCCGAGGGGCCCATTCTGTCGAACGATTGCATTCTGATCATCAAGGCATACGATCCGGACATCAAGGATCGCACTGCGGACCAGCACATCACGTACTCGATTGTTAAGGAGGATCACAAGAAGCTGCTGACCATCGACAATAGCGGCTGCTTGAGGCTCATCCATCCACTGGATCGCGACCCGCCCAATGGGCACAAGAGCTGGCAGGTGCTGATCTCGGCGAGCGACCAGGACGGCGTTGGCACATCCTTGAAATCGGTTAAGCCCGTGATCATCACACTGGAGGACATCAACGACAATGCGCCGTTCTTGATCAATCAGATGCCCGTCATCTGGCAGGAGAACCGTAATCCCGGCCAGGTGGTCCAGCTGCTGGCCAACGACTATGACGAGCCGCAAAACGGTCCGCCCTTCACGTTTGGCATCGACAGCGACGCCTCGCCCGACATCAAGACCAAGTTCAGCATCGACAACGACTACCTCTTTGCCAACGTGCAGTTCGATCGCGAGGTGCAGAAGGAGTACTTCATACCCATACGCATCAGCGATGCGGGCGTGCCCAAGCAGAGTTCCGTGAGCATTCTGCATCTGATAATTGGCGACGTGAATGACAACGCCATGTCGGAGGGCTCCTCCCGCATCTTCATGTACAACTACAAGGGCGAGGCGCCCGATACGGACATTGGCCGCGTCTTTGTGGACGATGAGGACGACTGGGATCTGGACGACAAGATGTTCGAGTGGAAGACTGGCATACCGCACGAGCAGTTCCGACTCAATCCGAGCACCGGCATGATCACCATGCTCGAGGGCACCAGCGAGGGCGAGTACCTGTTGGAGTTCAAGGTCACCGAGGAATCCATTCTGATAACCAGACACTGGGTCTACGCCGACGTGACGGTCATTGTGCGCGAGCTGCCGGAGGAGGCGGTGGACAAGAGCGGCAGCATACGCTTCTACAACATCACCAAGGAGGAGTTCATCAGTGTGCCGCGCGATGTGCAGGCGGACGATGTCTTCTCGCTGAAGGATCGCCTGCAGCACTCGCTGGCCAAGCTGTTCAACACCTCGGTATCCAACGTGGACGTCTTCACCGTGCTACAGAATGAGAACCGCACATTGGACGTGCGCTACTCCGCCCACGGCTCGCCCTATTACGCCCCCGAGAAGCTCAACGGCATGGTCGCGCAGAGCCAGCAGCACCTGGAGAACGAGCTCGATCTGCAGATGCTGATGGTGAACATAGACGAGTGCCTGATCGAGCGGCTCAAGTGCGAGAGCTCCTGCACTAACGAGCTGCACAAGAGCTCCGTGCCCTACATGATCTACTCGAACACCAGCTCCTTTGTCGGCGTCAATGCGTTTGTCCAGGCGCAGTGCGTCTGCGAGGCGCCGCCCTCATCCTCGCCCTGCCTCAACGGCGGCAGTCGCCGATACGGCGAGAACGACGCCTGCGACTGCATCGATGGCTTCACGGGTCCCCACTGCGAACTGGTATCGGTGGGCTTTTACGGCAACGGCTACGCCTTCTACGAGCCCATCTCCGCCTGCGACAATACGCGCATTAGCCTGGAGATTGCACCGCAGCACGAGCAGGGTCTCATCATGTACCTGGGCCCGCTCAACTACAATCCGCTGCTGCCGTTAACGGACTTCCTGTCCCTGGAGCTGGACAAGGGCTACCCGGTGCTGAGCGTGGACTACGGCTCTGGCATGGTGCGCATTAAGCATCAGCACATCCAACTGCAGGCGGGTCGCTCCTATCAGCTGGACATCATACTGCAGAGGGCCAGCATCGAGATGACCGTCGACAACTGCCGCCTGTCCACCTGCATGAGCCTGGGCGCCCCGCAGGGCCCCAACGAGTTCCTCAACGTGAACGCGCCCCTGCAGTTGGGCGGCACGCCGGTGGATCTGCTGCAGCTGGGTCGCCAGCTGAACTGGACGCATGTGCCCAACCAGCAGGGCTTCTTCGGCTGCGTCCGCAACCTGACCATCAATGAGCGCACCTACAACCTGGGCTTGCCCTCCCTCTCCCGCAACATCGACAGCGGCTGCCAGCGCGCCGTGGCTGTGGCCGTGAGCTTTGGCATTGATCGCAACTTCATTATTGCGATCATCACGTGCATTGCGCTGCTGCTGATCATCCTGCTGGCCGTGGTCGTGCAGAAGAAGCAGAAGAATGGCTGGCACGAGAAGGACATCGACGACATACGCGAGACGATCATCAACTACGAGGACGAGGGCGGCGGCGAGCGCGATACCGACTACGACTTGAACGTGCTGCGCACCCAGCCCCTGTACGAGGAGAAGCTCTACAAGGATCCGCATGCGCTGCAGTCGGGCATGCGGGATCCCAACGATATACCCGACATTGGTGACTTCCTCGGCGGGAAGAAGGAGAACTGTGACCGCGACACGGGCGCCAACACCGTGGACGATGTGCGGCACTACGCGTACGAGGGTGACGGCAACTCGGACGGCAGCCTGTCCAGCCTGGCGTCCTGCACCGACGACGGTGATCTCAATTTCGACTATTTGTCCAACTTTGGACCACGTTTCCGCAAGCTGGCCGACATGTACGGTGAGGAGCCCTCCGACACGGACTCCAACGTGGACGACGAGCAGGGCTGGCGCATTTGAGGAACCAGCACGTGAACTGGAACTGGAACTGGAACTGCAAGTGTTAGCGAGAACGAAATTGAAAAGACTTTTACGATAAGTTGTGTAGGGCGCCGGGACGCCGGCATAGCCGGACGGACCCAAGTCGGCCAAACGACGTGCCGTGCGCTCTTGAAGACATTGCAAATATATTATAGATTTTATAGTGGAGGAGCATTGCAAGGGCATAGGAACACGTTTTTTGTATGTAACCGCAGAAAGTGATCTTGATCTTACGTAAAAAAAAAAAGAAATCGAAACTTTAATTTAGCAAAGCATCCGAGAACAAAACATCTGCAGAATTGTTGTCTGTATTTTTCGACAAAATATAGAACTTAACATAATTATCATAAACTTTATATCGTACACACACACACACACATATATAGCATAAGTATATATAATATATATATAATTAAATCATTATGAAATGAAAATCAAAATTCAACAAAAATATTCCTACGAAAACAAATAATTAAAAAACGCATTGCATTTTCTTGCATATTCCCAACAATTTAAATCTAAGCTTAGGGCCTAATATTAATTTAATCTTTCATAAATATATATCGTATATTTATATATGTACAAGTACTACAAAAGGCATTATTCAATATTTTATGTTTAAAATACGCAGAAGAGAAAAAAAAGAAGCTCCAGATGTACAGACTTTGGAGACTCGTTAAATCTTCCGAATAAAAGTTATAATAACTCATATTTAAGACAAGTCGCGATATATCAAACAACTAATTTATATGCAAAAAAAAAAATTAAATAAAAACAAACGAAAAATCACGAAAAAAAACAACTCACTTTGAATATAAGCGCTTAAGTTTTCGTTGTATATTTCTGATGATATATGATGACATATATGCACACATGTAAAAATCAAATCTATTGGATTCAACAGTTTATAGTTAGACGCTGTAATTATGATAATGCAGTGATTTCTATGTTCCATATAGAAATCGAATTACTAAGTAGAAAACAAAGTTTTATGTGAAAAAATAAATTTAATAAATAAATGCTATATGTATTTTTATAAGTCGTTTTTCGTCGAGAGTCCTAAACTAAGCGAATTTTTTACATGCCAACGTAAATTTATTTATATGAAAATAATTTACAACACACACACACACAGCAATTGTGTAAAAATAAACAATACATTTAAAAGAAAAGTACATCATTTTTCATTTACGATTTCCGATTAGCAGCAACAAATGAACCCCAGACGTGACCCCAAGGGAGATAAGCCAAGGTGTAGGCATATGTAAATGTGTGTAAGTGAATAAGGAGATTCTTTAGTAAAAGTGAAATAAAGAATTGGCCAAGAGAGCGAGACTTGTGGATCAGCCTATTCACATGCCGTGCGTTCAGTTTCGGGACTCCTCTGTAAAAGGCATGGAAATATGTATAGTATTACACATGAAGACCATCCGAAACGTTCGATAAGCTTGCCAGAATTCTTTCTATAAATCAAAGTACACACACACACACACGCGTAGACTTTCCGACTTATGAAAGCTCCAAAATAAACGCAGACCGAAATCTAAACAAATGCAAACGTAGCACGAACCGAACGATTCCCAAACGCATCTTGTTTACACTTGGCCCCGTTGGGCGACTGGGAGGGGCAGGGGCAGGGGCAGGGGAGCAGCACACAGTGGAAGTCATTGACTGGCGTCGGAGGAAAAGCCCCATTATCTTATCAGTGGGTCGGCCTGGAAAGTAGGCCGCCATGTCGCCAGCTTCAATTGTGTGTGTGACTGTGAACAAATCGATTGCGGCACGAGCAAATGGATTACGCCTCGCACACATCGAACTGGGCCGGGCAGCTAACAGTTGAGATGTGCAGGTGCACATTAGCTCACCAAATCGATTGACTATGCACATGTATCTTAATCTCCATCCCGTACATGACTGTACAATTACACGGCTGGGCTATTGCTAGATCTTAGCAGCTGCCGCTTGGCGTGATCTTTCATTCGATTTGCCGCCCTTCAGAATTTTTGATCAGGCGCACAGCTTTTCGTTGCGTATTTTCCCCTTCATCAATTTTCCGGAAATTGCTTTTCAATTGCCTCTCGATAAATTTGTGGTGCTCAAGAAACATTTGGAAGACCTTCAGCTGAGCTCTGATGTCATTGCTAAGGCTTTCGTGGATTGCGGAAAGGCCCGGCATAAACGACAGATGCGTTTGTATCTCGGCCAAACTGTCGATAACAAAACACAACCAAAAACAAAGAAGAAACAACCAAAAAAAAAAAAAAGAAAATAAATGCAAAAATTCTGATGAACATGAGGACGTTTGGCTACGGCAGAACGTGAGCCCAGGTAGAGCTGTAGAGGAAGCGACCTAAACAAAAAAAAAAAATGGCTGTTGAATAATCAAATAACCTTTTGCTACCTGTCCAGAGAGCTGTGCGCAGCTGCAGCTGCCGCTCAGGTGTGTACGCGTATGGGCCGGAGCCTGGCACGGGATTGGGATTAACATAGTAGCGACGAGCCGAAAGAAGCGAAGAGCTGAGCAAAGCCAAGTCGAGAACTCGGCTCAGATACTACCTGGACACAGCTAAGGTAGCGGCAGCAGCATACGCATACACACACACACACACACACATGTGTGTTTGTATCTCGCGGATACACACAAGCCAACCAACACGCACACACATACACATATGTATATACACTATGGCCGTTAACGGAAAAATGAAAGCAAATCTTTGTAACGAACTTGGCCGCCTGCAGAAAACCAGTATTTTGAACTGCTTGACAGCGAGAGGTGTGTATCTGTTGAGCGCCGCCGCGCTGTGTCTTTTGTGTTCTTGAGTGAAGTTCGTCAGCGAACGGAGTTTGAGTGCATTCGGCTTTGCACTCGTATTCGTATACGCTGTTCCTGCTCATTCGCCAGCTGCCGCCTTCTTGGCACTTTCTGCTTCTTCGAGTTCTCTTTCTTTCTGCGCTTCGAGCACGTTCGCTCGCGCTCTCACTCTCCCTCTCTCTCTCTCGCTGTGAGCAGCAACAAGCTGAACATGTCACGCACGATGCCATTGTATTGATATTGATGGGCACGTCTTGGCATTTTACTACCTGTTGATGAGGATGCTGCTCGCTGTCGCTGTCGCTGTCGCTGCCGCCGTCGCTGCTGCCACTGTTGCTGCCTCTGCTGTTACCCATCTTTGTCTCCGCTCAGCACTGCAATTTTGCCCTGCCTACACACACATTCTTCTGCTCTTGATTAATAACAGCCAACTAGCTGACCATTAAGGAATGTGCCATGGACGTAATGCTCCCGGCAAATGTCGAGCTCCACGTCTAAAGTGCTCATTAACACTCTCCGACTATTCATCACAATATCAATTACCACGGCGAGCAGACGCTGACACTGCTCCACTCACAAGATCGCACAAAGGTCTTCCATTGTGCTCAGTTCTATTGATGCAGATATACTTTTTGTACGGACTGTAGTCAAATCTATTTTACTTGCATTTGAATTAAACAGTGCCGAAGTCCAGCGTAAACTAAAGGTAGTCTTACTTTTTTGCACCCACCTGTAAAATATTTCTAAGCTTTCAAAATGTTTAACAACTAATAACTAAAATCTTTTCTATCAACACTTAAATAGACAATTTCTTTATACGCTACTGTTAATTCTTTTAAGGTAAATTAATCGATAGAACAGGTTGATCAGCATTTTATTTGGCACTCCTCCACCGCTTCCACCTCCTTCGCCTCCTCCACCCACACACCTTTCGAGACGACACTAATAACTCTATGCAGCGGGCTACGTGGCTGGGCTATTAAGTCCCTTATTAGTTGGCCAACATGCCAACAGGTAGCTCTGGCCTGGCAGACGTCTAGAATCAATAATACAGATCGCTCATAAAGGGAAATTTTTAGCTTCAATTGCTGCCCGTAGTAGGCCTTTGTATTGGAGTCCAAATGCTGGCCAGCGGGACGTGCCGGCTCCAGGTTCTGGCGCAACAACTGTTTATTCATGCTCGGCACGTATAACACACACACACACACACACACACACGCACACACACACACACACCTATGTACATAGGTGCATATAAGTGCATATGGATGATATGCAGCTATCGCTCAGGTGAGCTTCAGCTGGCCATATTTTAATGGCCCTGGCACTGTAGGCCAGAATCGCTTTTAAACGTCAAAAATAATGTACCTCTTAAGCCGTATTTGGTTGCAGCATACAAAATTATCTATTCATATTTGGACAAATATGCCTTAGAGTAAAATTGATAGCCAGAATTGCATCCAAAGATATTACCTTTAAGAATATAATCTACAACACTTGATCTAGATATTAATTTAGGCTAAGCTCAACATCTCTTCATATTTGCCTGGTGCTGTACTCACAGTGGTGGCAAAAATATTGTATCTCCTAAGCCGCATTTGGCTACAGCATACAAAATTATATATTCATATTTGGACATATATTCATTAAAGAGAAATTCTAAACTCTTTTAGTCAGAATTGCATCTAAAGATATTACATTTAAAAAAATAATATTCAACATTTTGTTATTGTTAGGTTTTAATACATAACAATTGATCTAGATAGATTTAAGGCAAGCTCAACATGTCCTCATATTTGCCTGGCGCTGTAGTCACAGTGGTGGCAAAAATAGTGTGCACGATCTATTGAATGGCCGCTTCCCCGACAAAGCCGCATAGCCTTTTTTGTAGCTCCAAAATTGACGTTTAGAAATTGGTTTTACTTTAGACTTATGTTCGGTTTTAAGGGCATTTTGAAAGCTAAATACATATGTTCATAGCACGAAATATGTTTTGGCTTATATTGCATTTGTTTTTGTTGTTGTCGCCTTTTTGTTTAGTCTGTTTTGTTAGCTTTGTTTGCCAGCGTAAGCATTAGTTGCCACTCACAGGCCAGGCTGAAGGCGAAAACGTGGCAAAACTAGTTTAAGACCATATTTTCTGCTTCAATTGCAATGTTTCCAAGTGATTCAGTTTTCAGCTGCGACTCTTGCCGGGGCACACGGGCGCAGAGAGGTGCCCCGCAGCACTTTGGACTTGGGCTCG